TGATCCAAAGAGGTGGTAACTTTTTATAGTTCTGCCATCTCTTGTTGGGGGTGCGTGTTCAATAATGGTACTTGGGAGGAAATCTCTTTCTACTAAACCTAGAACTTTTAAAAAGAATTAATATTTTCTTATCTTTGTTAGAATTTCTGCTCTGCAGTTTGAAAAAAACATTATCTTTTTTCTTTATTATTATTTCTGGTAAAAGCTCTTGGCCAGACTATGCTCAGATGGGTAGGAGAGAAAAAAGAAAAGCTTACCTAGTAAACTGATTGTTGAGAAAAATCCCCAGAAACTAGAAAGGAAATCATTTTTATGCATATATGCTCTATGTCCTTCAATGTGGCAGCTGACTGTGTTAGTCTGCAGAAATAAGATTTGGGGTTTGAGTGATTGATCTTTTAAAGTTACATACATAAATTTGAATTTTACTAAATAAAAAGGATGTTTGTAGGACTATATCATGAGGGCTTTTCAGTAATATTTGCCTGTTATAATATGCAGTATAAGTATACTACATGCTTTGTCTATTTGAATTTGCACATAAAGGACTGACCTATTCTAAAGAATTAATTTCCTCCCAAGAGATAATGACACACTAGGCAGAAATAGAAGCATTAGTTGAGGGTAGGGGGAGTAAGCTTTCATAAGAATTTAACATGCAAAACCATGATATTCAGAGCTGTCATGCTCACTTCCAAAGTTAAAAGCCTTTACAAAGACTGCCTTGATAAAACAAAGTATTTCTGCAAACAACAATCTAGAAATTTATAGATGTATTATACATTTTAATTGGTAGTGGGTGGCATTTATAATTTTAGTCAGTGATTATGGTTTCAGTAATGACAATTGAACATCTGTATACCACATCCACAAAGGATTTTCAACATTTGGTTGAATTTGAGTCAAGAATAGGCTGGGCGCAGTGGCTCACGCCTGTAGTCTTAGCACTTTGGGAGACTGAGGTAGGTGGATCACCTGAGGTCAGGGGTTCGAGACCAGTTTGACCAACATGGTAAAACCCTCTCACTACTAAAAATACAAAAATTAGCCAGGTGTGCTTGCACACGCCTGTAATCTCAACTATTCAGGAGGCTGAGAATTGCTTGAACGTGGGAGGCAGAGGCTGCAATGAGATGAGATTGCGCCACTGCACTCCAGCCTATGAGAGACCCTGTCTCAAAAAAAAAAAAAGAAGAAGAAGAAGAATTTGTGTAATTGTATATGATAGATTTTTCTTCTGAAGCTTTAATGTCTGCAACTAGATGATGGCTTAGGGTCCCAGGATTTGGTTAATTATTAACCAAAATTAATTGGTTAACTAATTAAAATAGAACAATAATATTTTTTAGTACAGCATTAGTTAAATCTTTATTTTATTTTTGAGATGGGTTCTCACTCAGTTGCCCAGGCTGGAGTACACTGGTGCATTCTGAATTCACTGCAGCCCCTGCCACCTGGGCTCAAGCAGTCATCCCACCTCAGCCTCCCAAGGGCTGGGACTACAGGTGAGTGCTACCATGCCCGGCTAATTTTGGTATTTGTTGTAGAGACTGGGTTTTGCCATGTTGCCCAGGCTGGTCTTGAACTCCTGAGCTCAAGTGATCCAGCCACCCCAGCCTCTCAAAGTGCTGGGATTACATGTGTGAGTCACCCTGCCTTGCCTAATCTTTATTTTGTTATTTATTTATTTTTTTACAGACAGAATCTCACTCTGTCGCCTAGGCTGGAGTGCAGTGGCATGACCATAGTAGAATTTTGTAATTTTCTTACTACCCATTAACGTTACTAATTACAACTTAATCTGACCCTTACTCTTATCCGTAGTATTGATTTTAAAGTTCTTTTCCAATTTATTCTTAATTTTTACCTTTGATTCAGGTCCTCTTGCATCTGACACATGGCTCTGGGGTGGTGACAACTTGATAAAAACACTTAAAAATTTTTCTCTCCACAGCCAACTAGAATGTGTGCCCCCTATAGAGAAGGACAGCTTGCTTTACCAGTAGACTTATTTGAAAAGAGTTTTCCTGTTAAACTTGCTAGCTTCTCCAATCATTTTACACAAGAAAGAGCCTACTGAAGGTAGAAACTGAATATACCATCACTTTTCTTTGCTATTTCCTGAATTTAACTTTTTCTGTCTTCTTTCAGTGTAAATTAAAGCTGGAAAAGGAGGCCAGACAGAGTATTATGCAGCTATGGCTTCATATGGAAAGTACACAAGCATAGCAGTGGCTTTTGCTAGGTACTCACGTCTTTGACATAGTCATTTTTGAAGAATGATAGCCTTTGGCTGTAAATGAAATCGTTTATCCCACTCAAACCAGTGGGAAAGAAATGGCTTTCTCTACCTCTCCTTAGATTCTATTTTCTTCTATTTTCTAGACCTCAAGTTAAGTTTCTTTTATCCCACACTTGACCAGAGTCAATGATTATAATATTCCTATCTCCAGGTCTATATTTTTTCTTGCTTTTTTTTTTTTTTTTTTTTTTTTGAAACGGAGTCTAACTCTGTCACTAGGCTGGAATGCAGTGGCACGATCTCGGCTCACTGCAACCTCTGACTCTCAGGTTCAAGTGATTCTCCTGCCTCAGCCTCCTGAGTAGCTGGGATTACAGGCACGTACCACCATGCCCAGCCAATTTTTGTATTTTTGGTAGAGACAGGATTTCACCAGGTTGGCCAGCATGGTCTCGATCTCCTGACCTAGCGATCTGCACCCCTCGGCCTCCCAAAGTGCTGGAATTACAGGCGTGAGCCACTGTGTCCAGCTTCATCTCTTTTTTCTTCGTTGTCTCTATAGCTTGCTTCCTTGTTGAATTGGGGTAGGCTTTACACTTCTGCCTTTGTCCTTAAGTGCATTTTTTTGGTCTATTTTTCCATCTTCCTTATATTGAAAAAACTCCTTGGTCATAGGTTCTCTGGTCTCTCCCCTCTCCAGTCTTGCTTCTAGCTCTTGTAGTCACTCTGCCCTTCTCAGAATCTTTTGTAGCTGCCCATAGTTATTCTCTTTCTTGCCCTTTTCACCCATAAAATCTTGAGACTGCCTGGATTTCAGTGTTCCCCAATACAGTCTATGTCATTAATTTGCATTTTTTGGCATCATGATCTTGTCCTAGGTAGCTCTTTGTCTATTACTGCATTTAAAATGCTCAAGGCCCTCTCTAATAGTTTTAATCCATTTAAAGCCATAAGAAGGGGATAACTTTTAAAGAGAAGGCTGTCTTTACTCTCCCCATATCTTAGCGCAACGCCTAGCATATAGTCATACTTACTAAGAAATCAATGGAGTTTGAGTTTTACTACCAGGTTGTACATATCAAAAAATGAAGATGATTGAGTCCTTTCCCTTTGTCTCACTCCTAACATTATTTAACTGAAAAGTAGATTCTCAGGGTTGTCAGAGTTACCTTTTGCCACTAATTTGACAGTCTAAGGTATATTTTTCGTTTTAATGTCAATAAATCAATAGAAACTAAATTTTATCCTTTTACAACAAATGTTTATTGTTGAAATAGAGTAAGCCTAACTACCTGAAGCTGAAATTTATGCAATAATTTAGTTTGTAAATTTTGTTATTATTAGTTTGTAAATTTTGAAATGTATTTCACGGTTTTTGAAGCTAGTCCCCAGATTGTAATTATTCCAGCTGACAGTTTCCATCGAGCCTACTGATGCTTTCTTCACCAGGTTGGATCCTCCAACAAGTTTCAAATGGTTTATACAAGTGAAGTGTTCCTAAAAACAAATAAACATCTGTCTCAGTTAACTAAGTTATTGAACAGAACTTGCGTATTTTCAGTAAAAAGGGTGATGTTTTACAAATGAACAGTCCAAGCATGGTAGCAGTAGGAGGGAACTTCTGCAGTCTTAGTGCCACTGCTTTTTAAGCTGGCATGCATGGAGATACACAAAACTCCAGGATAAACATGTAAACATCACACATGGTCCTAAAGTGTCGTTTTTATTTGAACAGGAGATATTCTGTGTTTTTTATTTCCATGTTAAAAATAAAGATGTATTATATAGGTGAATTTAGAGGTCACATGAAGTTTTAAATGGGAATTTCAGAAAAATTGTTTGCTTGTGTCTGAATGATAAGTATGTATTTCCCCTTTGTCTTGTTAAACTAACTTCATTTTATAGGAAAAGAAACAGGTTCAAGGAGGTTGCACAGGGTCAGGATGAGAAAAGGTCCCTGTCCTTTCCTTTTTACCAATGCTTCCCAAACTTTTTTCACTCCATAAAGAACCTGTTCTATGATCTGCCTGCCTCCAAGAACCCCATGTTTGAAAGATTTTACCTACCAAACTGTATCTGTTAGATAAACTGTTTTAATGTTAATCAAAAACAAAAGAACTGCAAGTTAGAGTTTTTGATCAACACAAGCTAACCAGTTAACCACACTGAATGGATATAATTTTGGCAAAAGGCCTTTATGGGGAGAAATGGACACATTACATAAAGCTTTAGGGAATAATGAAAGTGACTAGAATTATTACTCACTTAGAGCCTTAAAGATATGGGGAGCCCTGGGAGCAACAGGTCCCAGGTTCTGAACTACTCTTCAGAGGCCTGCTGCCTCGAAACAAAATCTGGCTGTTTTTGGATGACTCAAAAGAGAATGCCTAGGTAGGTGCAGTGGCTCATGCCTCTTATCTCAACACTTTGGGAGGCTGAGGCAGGTGGATCGCCTGAGGGAAAGAGCTCCAGGCCAGCCTGGCCAACGTGGCAAAACCCTGTCTGTACTAAAAATAGAAAAAATCAGCCATACGTAGTGGCGCGTGCCTGTAATCCCAGCTACTTGGGTGGCTGAGGCAGGAGAATCGCTTGAACTCAGGAGGTGGAGGTTGGAGTGAGACCATCCCACTGCACTCCATCCTGGGCGACAAAAGCAAAACTCTATCTCCAAAAAAAAGAAAAGAGAGAGAGAATGCCTGTGTTTCGGAGTGGACATGTTGAATTGATGCTTTTTATTTCTTTTCCTCTTTGCATATAGATTGAGTATGAAAGGAAAAAGAAAGAAGACGGAAAGCGAGCTCGAGCTGATAAACAACATGTTTTAGACATGCTGTTTTCAGCCTTTGAGAAACACCAGTACTATAATCTTAAGGACTTGGTGGACATCACAAAACAACCCGTGGTATGTATATATTCATACTGATCCTTTGAATATGCCCCCCTTCATGAACATGTCATTACTGAAAGTGTGTCATACATGAGTTAGTTCACATTTATCTGTGCTAATGACAAATTTAGACAACACAGAAAAGATGTCTTGATGCAGTCATTTTTTGGTAACATCAGCTTTGTAATTTTAGATTTCAGTACATTTAATATCAACAATTCTTTATGAAGAAAAGAAATTATCCTTATTTATATTTATTCTTGACATTAAGCCTGAAATCTGTTGATACCATTTCTGGCCTTTATTTTGTTTCCCTGTCTTCCTCTGAAAGAGCTTAACTCCTTCCCTTTTTTTTGGAAAACCTGCCTTATGGAAGAATCACATCCTTTAAAGAATTATACTGTTTTGTCATTGTGGGGGGGTTTATCCCTGTCTTGTGGATTGTTATCTGTGGATTTTTTTTTTTTAATTAGAATCTACCTAGGTCCTTTTAAACTTGAGCTGAACTGCCCTTTCAAATTATGCTTGCAGGGATTGTGATTAGGTTGTCCTAGTCCCCATTTTTTAAGGACAAATTTAACAAATTGGTATTTTAGAAAATTTATCTTTGTTTTATAGTCATTTTTATCTCTGCTCTAGGCCTTTGTGCATTCACTAGTGATTTGTGTTAATCCATTTAAAATGATGGTAACAAGAAGTCCAAATTCTTTCTCTAGTCTTTGAGTCACATTGTTTTCCATTTAGCGTTTTTCACTAAATGTCACCAAAGTATCAGAGTGTTTAATTATAGTTTTAAGAAAATTGAATGGTAACCCTTTTATCTCATTTTCTTTACGATTTTGTTCACTCTGCCAGTATACTCAATAATATGTTGATTCTTGCTGCTCCGTTTATTTGATTCAGAATATGTAACAAAATAACCAATTTTTAAAAACATTTTAACATAACCAAATAACCTGTTTGTGAAAGGACTTGATTTCTTTATTTATATAAAGCTTTAGTAAATGATATATGAATATTTAGTGTTCATTATACAGTTCCTTCCGCAGAGATTTCTTTACTATTATACATCAACCTTTCACTTTCTGTTAAGAAATTAAATTCCAAAAGATTTCTTTTTAATAATAAGAAAGTGCTTATGGTGCAGTATTATCAATTCATCCCATGACTTCACTCCCTTTGGCATCAAAGCCTTAGAAACAGCATTCTATGCTATATTAAAAATTTTTTTTGAAATAGAATACTTCATTAGCTAAGCTTTGTTTCTTCTGGTTTTAATGAAATTTATCTTTGTATTTACATATATAAATATATCTGTATGAAAAGACCATTCCAGAAACTCTGAAAACAGACAAGAGAGTCTCATGGAATTAAACACAAAAAATTAAATATGGAAAATAATCACTTGTAGGGGACATTCAGATGATACTAGGGAAAACAATTTCTTTGCCTTTACATGGGATATAAGGTTAATTCATTTTGCATCAAAGAAAAAAGATTACTAGTATGTCTTTTGGTTTTGGTTCTTAAGATTTTTTATATGGTAGTACTCAGTGAATCTCTTACAACAGAGCGTCTTAATTCCTAATCAGTGGATGGGCTTTAGGGGATCCATTAACTGCCTGAATATGTGGGAAAATGTATGGTTTTTCTAGGGAACACATCCATAGTTTGTATCAGATTCTCATAGAAGCCACTGATCTTGAAACTTATTTTTTAATAATTGTTTTATTATTTAGAGACTAAATTGCCTCAATAAGCATAAGATTTTTGAAGGCAGAGTTGTATGTTATTCCTATCTCTAAATATTCATATACCCCATAGTGTAAAACATGGTAAAAAATTCAGTAAATACCTAATGAATTGATTTGAAAAAAGAAAATCCTCAATCTCCAAGGGTATATTTCTTCAGATGGATTTTGGTGGGCCTCTCATGTCATTTATAAGTGAGAGTGGGGGCAAAGAGCCAGTGACAAGAAAGTGTGGAATGCCTTCACCAGGCTGGGGGTAGGCCAGAGGTAGAGTTACCTCCACCTAGAAGAGAGGGCAGGAAGTGGTCAGCATGGATTCTAGTTCTGCTGTCTACCTCAGTGGGATCTGGAGAGGTCAGTTCTGCTCCTCAAATTGAGGGAATTGGACGAGACTATCTCTATGATCCCTTTCAGCTCTAAATCTGTGATATTCTCTCTCCTATTTCATCTCCTTTCCACCTTCCTCTCCCATTTGACCTAGTGAGAAAGTCCATTGACTGAGAAAGAAAATTGCCAAAGCCTAGCTCTCCCCCAGGTAGGAATTATCCCACTTAAAAAGGGTCCCAGGACATGAGGGGATCTGTACTAATTGTTATCAGTACCCAGGAGACTTGAGGAATCGATTCTAGCATGACGATCAATGATCCAGGAAAGGGGGCTCCTGGTGTAATAGAAAGAACCCTGGATTTGGAGTATGAGATTTCAGTTCAAGTACCAGCTCTACCATTTAGCCAAATAGTCCTGGACAAGGTACATTTAATACATTACTTATGTATTTAATATTTAGTTCACATAACATATGTAATACTTAATATATGTTCAATTTATAATGGTTTTTCGTTTTGTTTTGTTTTGTTTTGTTTTTGTTTTTGGTGACAGAGTTTTGCTCTTGTCACCCAGGCTGGAGTGCAATGGCATAGTCTCCACTCACTGCAGCCTCCTCCGGGGTTCAGTTGATTCTCCTGCCTCAGCCTCCCGAGTAGCTAGGATTACAGGCGTCTGCCACCACACCTGGCTAATTTTTGTATTTTTAGTAGAGACGAGGTTTCACCGTGTTGGCCAGGCTGGTCTCAAACTCCTGACCTCAGGTGATCCACACACCTCAGCTTCCCAAAGTGCTGGGATTACAGGTGTAAGCTGCCATTCCCAGCCAAAATCTTTATTTTTTACAAGCAAAATTATTGGTTAGAGAAACTGTCCTTAGGGCCCGTCTTTTTCTCTTGTTCGCCAGTATGTGACTTACATAAGCAACTAGAAAGAGTGAAAGTTACTCTTCAAGGAGGCCAAGCTTTGGTAACTGGTGTAAAGTCAGAATTTAGTATCCTTTTAAAGAGGTATCATCTTAGACTGTTTTTGGTTGCTTATAACAGAATACCTGAAGCCAGGCAATTTTTTTTTTTTTTTTTTTTTTGAGACAGAGTTTCACTCTTGTTACCCAGGCTGGAGTGCAATGGCGCGATCTCGGCTCACCGCAACCTCCGTCTCCTAGATTCAGGCAATTCTCCTGCCTCAGCCTCCTGAGTAGCTGGGATTACAGGCACGCGCCACCATGCCCAGCTAATTTTTTATATTTTTAGTAGAGACGGGGTTTCACCATGTTGACCAGGATGGTCTCGATCTCTTGACCTCGTGATCCACCCGCCTCGGCCTCCCAAAGTGCTGGGATTACAGGCGTGAGCCACCGCGCCCGGCCGCCAATTTTTAAAGCAAAAGAATTTGTTTCTTAAAATTTTCGAGTCTGAGAAGTCCAAGGTCAAAGGGCCACATCTGGTAAGAGGCCTTTTCTGGTGGGGACTCTGCAGAGTCCTGAGGCAGCTTAGGACATCACATAGTGAGGAGGCTGAGCATGCTATTTCAGGTCTCTCTTCCTCTTCCTCCTTTTATAAAGCCACCAATCCTACTCCCATGATAACCCATTAATCTATGAATGAGCAGAGCTCCCATGACCCAGTCACCTCTCAAAGGCCCACTTCTTACTACTGCCACATTGGGAATTAAGTTTCACATGAGTATTAGAAGGGACAGATATACAAACCATAGCAGGTATTTTTATATGGTTTAACTTTTGGATTTTTTTCCCACCTGAAAATAGAAGATTATAAGAGGCCTATTATTTCTCCCTGGTACTCTTTGATTTTTAACCTTGAATGAGTTATGTCTAGCTTTTTTCATATTTTGTTGTATCTGTCAAATAGAAGCATATATATGCAGCATTTCCTTTGAAGATACAAACCATTAAAAACTTCATCTAATTGATCCCTTTGAAACACCAAACTGCCAATACAGCTCTGAGCTTCAACACTGTTCTCTAACAACATTCATTTACCAGTGTTCCTCTACAGCACACTTCTGTTAAAAAGTGTCACTGAAAACTAGCCCTGATTATAACTGAACCTGTTAATTTCCTCTCACACTGCCTACCCAATTTCAGATCAGGATTCAGAGAAGTTTATTTTTATTTTTATTTTTTGAGATAGAGTCTTGGCCTGTCACCCAGGCTGGAGTGCAGTGGTGCAATCTCGGATCACTGTAACCTCTGCCTCCTTGTTCAAGCATTTCTCCTGCCTCAGCCTCTCATGTAGCTGGGATTACAGATGCCATCACCATGTCCAGCTAATTTTTTTTTTTTTTTTTTTTTTTGCTACAGAGTCTTGCTCTGTCTCCAGGCTTGAGTGCAGTGGCACAATCTCAGCTCACTGTACCCTTTGCCTCCCGGGTTCAAGAAATTCTCCTGCCTTGGCCTCCTGAGTAGCTGGGACTACAGGCGTGGGCCACCATGCCTGGCTAATATTTGTATTTTCAGTAGAGACAGGGTTTTGCAGTGTTGGCCAGGCTGGTCTCAAACTCTTGACCTCAGGTGATCCACCTGTTAGGCAGGCTGCTTTCTAATTTCTATATTATTAAGAATCCTCATCAGTAATCCTAAGCCAGGTATGTAGAGAGTAGAATTTAAGCTTTTTCTTAGTTCATTGAACTTCTACTCCAAAAGGAAAAAAAATAGATATTTTTAATGTTTGAAGCTTATTCCCAAATTTACTACTACATAATGACTGCTGTTTTTATATAATGTTTGCACAGGCATATACTCTCCCTTTTTTCACTTGCTCCTTTTTTCTTCTTTTCATTTTTCTTATAACTGCAAATTTTTATTTTTAAATGGTAGTACTAAAAAGATAATTTCCCAACAGAGCATATTAATTAATGACAGCCCTTTTAAGCCTTCTGTTTTAAGAAATAATTATTTGCTAACTTACAAAGTAGAGC